TTACCCGTCAGGACGTTCACTTGTTTTTGAACTTTGTAATCACAAAAAAAACATTACTTTATTATGGTAAACTTTTATGCAATGACCACCAAATTTTTTAACTGTGTTCCTTATATGTGCCTAAACTGAGAGTGGGTCTGTTTGAGTTTTTTGTTTAAACGTCATAATAAATAAATAAACACGTCACCCACTGGTATGCTAAATGCAAAAAGTTTGTACATAATTTACATTTTAATGAATTTGCTACAAGTAAATGAATTGCTAACTGCAGAAAGGGGACATGTCCCATTTTTTACCACAATAACATTCGTACATAATCGTGTTCTAGAGGTCTAAACACATCTTTACTGCAAAAACGGGCCATGTTTAATGATTTAGCTCGGGGCTACAAGCGGATGAAATTTACGGTTACATCAGAAAAGGGATATGTCCAGGAGATATCGACTTTCTGCAGTAAACACCGTGGTCTCAACGTCTTAAAGACTAAGAGCTGAAAGATTCTACACAGTACCTGAATACATTCAAATAATCTCTGCAGCATCAAAGAATCCTCAGAAATTTTCAATTGTTGAGGTTTCTAGAGATATGATTTATGATTTTAAAAGCTGGTGGTCAAGATTTTACAAAAAGACATGCCTAAGTAATGAGTCTTACGGGAAGCGCGTACCACGCAGTCAGAAAAAGTCATTTGCGATTGCTTCTTTTCAGCAGATAACTATTTCCTCACCTAGCGAAATTGTTAGTCGAGAGCTGATAAACGGTTTACTCACAGACACTTTTAGATTGAGAAATACAGAAAAGAATTTGGCTTTTCCTACAACACAAGCGTATCCCGAAAAACTAGCCATCAGCCAGAAGAAAATGACGGATATAACAAACACTTTACGATTTATCCCAGACGCTTATAACGCATTTTGGCAGGAGATTGCTACTTGGCCAACTGTAGAACAGGAGCGCGATAATGATTAAGTTTTTTAGTCAGATATACATATAACATGTTTGTGTAAAATTATAACTGAAATAAAGCTGTTTTTTGTGTTTTTTTTACCTTTTTTTTTATTTTACTGCAAAAAGGGGATATGTCCAAGTGTCAAATTTGACAGCCAAATTGACCCAAAAAAGAAAACATGCATTTAACCAACACTCGTTGATAACTGAGAACATAGAGAACCGGCAATTGAAAACGGGGATCGGAAACAAGTAGTTGTAAAAATCTGAGATGTTTTATTCATTTCCTCAACATTTTGAAAAATGTGATATATCCCCTTTCTGCAGTTAGCAATTCAAATATTATAAAAGCTAGATTTAGGATAACGATAATAACATGAAGGGTTTATTAGTGCCTTGGCTGAAAATTTTGCAATCAAATTTTATCTTATTTAACTTGTACCTAATTCATATTTACCTACTATTTGCGTCATTGTAGCGAACATATGATCTATTTTACATGAATTGGTTTCTCAATTCATTCGTATTCAGTGCAGTACAGAAAGACAACAAAATTGGCAGTCAAACAGCAAACACTTAATACATGCTAAAACTTTTTGTGGAAAATTTATTGGTGCTTTTGGCTGTTGACAGATCCCTATGTAACAAATTTCACAAGTTCAAAGACATTATCCTCCAACATGATTGACAACTCGATATACTTACCTTCCCATAAAATGTCAATTTTTAAAACTTCATTTTGTCACTTAAAGAGTTACGTTTTCAATAAGTACCCTGAGTTATCAGCGATGAGCTGTAGCAGAACTTTTTGTTCTCACATTTTCTCTTTAGTAGAACAATAAACGCATTTATTATTATTATATAACAATTGTTTTCGCATTCGTTGAAAAATACTATTATAATTTCTCGTTTCAGGTTTGATAAAAGGAAAAATATTGATTCGTTGATCAGTGGATAAAATCGGCAATGGTAAAACTCAACAATTTATTTCTTAATAATGCGAATTTACACGACTATAATTCCTGCGCACTTCACTGGACTCTCTTGACTCAAATGGATGAATAATCCTCGCCCCCGCCGGTGGTCTCTATTGAAACCTAAATGTTCCTCTCGATGATTCGAAAACGCCGCTTCGAGGGTTTGCTGGGCTGTCCATCGCGACTTCCGCTTCCAGGCTTCGATGAGTCATCACCGCCGTACATACCAGGATAAACACACACATACTAGAAGAGCCAAAGGCGTCGTTGCGGGGCGGCGTATGGGTTTATTTCGTAAAAATATATTATGTCGGAGAGCCCATGACATAAAAATTATGGAAACACCTACACTGAAAATTTAAATCAAATTTATGAAGTGAATTTCAAAATATTTTTACTTACCTTAGTTTTCGTGTTTTTTTTTGCATTTTTCAAGTTGGATAGTTAGACATACGCCAGTTTTTGCTGCAGCTCTCTTCGTATTGTTGTGAAGGCCTCACGAAAAACTAGTTTTGATTTGAATTTTTAAGTTTTGTTTTTAGTTTAGTTTATTCATTTCAATTTAAATAAGAATCCATAAAAGAAAGTGAATTGGCCTATGTTATCTGCAGCTATTTTTCCTAAGAAGTGACACATGTGTGAATCTCAAAAACAAGTTAAATTATAAGAATAAATAAATAAACATAATACAAATCTTCACAATGTCTGAAGACAGATGAAGAATATAGGTACACATATTATTGAATTACAAAGATGTCCATCATAATACAGTCTTTTTCTTTTGTTTTTCGTCTTGCGTCAGTTGTGTTCCACTATTTATCAAATTATTTCATTTTGTGTCAAAATAGTTTCATTTTTTGGCAAAACAATTTCGTCGGACAGCGGCCAATATAGACAGCAGTTTAATGTCCTACCAAACACTGACATAAAAATTTTCTCGAGTGAGAAAAACACTAACCAAGCAGAGAAAAGAAGTGCTAGGCACCATCCATGAAACTTAACTGAAGAACAAAAGAACAAATAAGCAAGTGGATTGATGAAGACTGTGTTTTAATCCTCAACTAGAAATACGCTTCTCTACCATAGACAGAGCTATCAAAGAGTGAGCTTAGAAGTGCGGCAGAACATGTGATTTCAACATGATGGTTGTCCAGAAGACTATTCGATGGTAGCACGTGGAATACGGAAGCATGATTTCAATGGTCACTGGATCGGTAGAGCTGGTCCGATTCTTTTTGTGGGGCTAACAAATCAAACATGCTTGTGCCGAAATTCAAGCAGACACATTTCTCAGTGCACATTCAATATCCACTGAATTCGAAGGCCATCATTTTGAGCACTTACTTTAATTGAAAGATGGCGAGACGAGGGCACTAAATTAAGCACCATAATAAGTCAGAGGCGAGAGGGACCCAATTTAATCAAGCACCCCGAAGCGAACAGAATACTAATTTGTTCTCATCGTTGTTCCTGGGTTGCGCTAAAAGTAGTTTATTCGCCAGCCATTAACATTTCTACAGGTAACAATTTTTAAGTTGTTCGAAATTTGCAGCATGAACGACGATTTTCGAGTACTTACAAAAAACGTGGTATTTTTTTATTGCCAACGTATTGCAGAATCATATGCATTTTTTCTCAGTAGAAACCGAAAAATTTTGAATTTCTTCGATTCAGCACCATTTGTCACAAATCGAAAAAAATGTTTCAGACAAATCATATGTACTTAGACTCCGAATCTGAAGTAATAGATAGCAGTTCATATTTAAGGTTTCAAGGTTAACCCCTGGCCTACCCACAAGGAGAGGGGAAGGAGAGCTAATTTTAGCACCAATGTATTTCCCTCGTGACATGATTAAATATTGAGTATACAATTAGATCAAATGTGATATCGATGAAGAGACAGCTGATTCATCTTCAGTTGAACAATTTACGAACAACCAGGAAGAAGAAGAGGAAGAAGAAGAAGAAATTGAGGAAGATAATACTGTTGAAGTCGAATTTGAAAAGTGTGAATTAAATTAAAATGTTAACAGAAATTAGAACTATGGTTTAAATCAATTAACTATATCAATATCAAAATCAATAATCATCATGCCGTACTTAAATAAGTCAAAGTTTTTGTTATTCGATCACTACTTTTATGTCTATTTTGACCGGAATATATAATATGAAGTATGTAACAAAGTTCGGTTCTGTTTTCACCCGACAACACGAATGATAACATTGATAACCCCTGCACATTCTCGCGCATCCCTGCATTGCGCACCCCGCTAGTTGCCTGTTTTCATCCCGCCAACAAAAACACAAGGCCGACTGAATTCATGCGTTATAAGGCCTGCTCACTTTGCAGAAAATTCGGTTCTCAAAAAGTAGGCCGTGACGTATAGAAAGTGGCGACATCTGTCTGCCAATTCTAATCAGTTACTGTCAATCCTTGGCGGTAAACGTAAATGTTCTTGTCAGCGTAATTTTCTCAGTTTATTTTCTTGCTCCATTTTTCACATTTCGTGTTTGATTTAACAATTTTTTCGTGTTCAGTTTCTCACTTTTCGTGTTTAGTTTCTTAGTTTTCGTGTTTATTGGGTTATAAACAATTTGTGTTATTTATTTGTTATCTGTAACAATGGGTAGACGCTGTGCCTTGTGTAAAAATAAAGACTTACCTTTGTGTGAAATACCTCAAGATCCCAACACTAGAAAAGAGTGGTTCGAGTTCTTCAAAAAACACTACAGCAAGTATTTTTTAGTCAAATTTACGGTAGACACTTTTCCGATCCACTTGCAGATGCATTCAAAATAACGATTTCACTGTAATTTGCAAGAAGCATTTCAAAGAAAAATGTTTCAAGGAAGTTGCTACATGAGGTTTCAATTTTTCAATTCTTCCATTTTTCTAATTACAATTTTTCGTTTCGGTTTTTGTTTTATTTATTTTTTAAATTTTTCGCTTTTCACTGTTCGGATTCCATCATTTTTCTTTTTTTTCAATGTGAATTTTTCCAGTTTTTGGATTTTTCAAGTTTTCAGTCTTCAGTTTTTGGTTTTTCAATTTTAAACTTTTTTAATAAAAATTCCAAAAAATGTATTTTATTCTAATGTTTGATAACAAACAGCAATCTATTTCAACATATGTACACATTAATTCATTATTTACATACTTATTTACAACATAGGAACTGATTGATTACACTTTTTAGATACACAGGTTTATCGAAGTCCTTGGTTGGAGTAATCAGCGTTACATTACTAGTAATAAACTTATAAACTACAATATATGTACATATCTCAACTACAAAGTAAAAATATCCCTCACATGCCATGATACTTTTTTTAATAAACCGACAAAACTATGGTTAAATAAGAAAATACGACAAGGTTGCAGCCCGTCTTCGGTATTTTTGCTCCAGTTCAGATTTTTACACTTTCTATTAATAACCATTCCCAAAAGAAAAGCTGCTTCAATTACGTGCTTTGGTTTTGTTAAGTGTTTTTTCACCTGTGTACCAATTGTCAAGAAGAAAGATAGTTTCGTAGTTGCCATGCTTGAGCATCTTCAGTATTTGGTCATAGTAAATTTCCCGCTTCCTCTCTGAATCAAACTTTGTCAGTTTGTCAAAAGAGTATGTTTTTGGGAAATCGTTGTGAAATGCTTAAAACACTATGAACAAATTTAAACCACAACCACGACTTGGTACAAAATATTCATTTTTGTAATGCAAACCCAGTGGATCTATATATTGATGAAAATATTCGACAATGGAAAACAGCCTTGACGTCGTTTTTTGCTAATTCTGAGTACAAGTACTTAGTTAAAAGGTATCATGGCACTTTACATTTCAAAATTTTTAATTATTTTGTCCTCGAAGCGCCGAACAGATGCAAATACAAAAACGCGTCTTGAATGCGTGAACAACGAATCTAGCGCTGACATTTGTTAGACATGAATGCTGCATCCGTTGAGCGATCTTGACAAAAAAGACACAAACAGAGGAAATAAATTACACATTGGAGCAACTATTTACAACATTACTTGCAAATAATAAAGTTATTATCAAACTCATATTAGAACTAGAATTAATTGTGCGATGGAAAACTGAAAGAATTTTGACAAACGGAATTACTTTGGGCATATGATATCAAAAAGGCAAATACGGGAAAAATGTGTCAAATAGTGAAACATATTCTACAAATAAAGAAAAACACTGTATTACGAAAAAATAATGTAGAAACAAATTTTAATTTCAATCAAACTAGGTAAAATTGGTCCAAGTTATCAGACAGGACATTTGTCGCTCCTGAAATACGGTCGAACAAATTCGGTTTTTTTTAATTCTATTTTTTTTAATATAAATCCTATAATTAAAGTATTTAATAATATCTCTCAACGGTAAAGGTAACATTGTTTTTAATAGATAGAGCAAAATTACCGTCCCTGATATGATCAACAAAATAACAATAAAAAAACGAGGCGGCGGATGGTAATAAAATTTTGAAAGTCTGGTCCGGCGTAGAGGAGTTTTGGATCACCGTTGAACTAAACATTCGACAGATTTTTGGTGACTATTCGAGTTGAACCATCATTATTCATTTCATTAAACGAAAGGTTTTGCTCCACATTTTACTAAGTATTCGACAATTTTTCTGTGACCTTGAGAGGAAGCTGCGTAAAGCGGTGTCCGACCATATTGATTACGGCTATTGATTTCGGCTCCGCATTTCACCAGGAATTCGACAATTTTTTCGTGACCTTGAGAGGAAGCTGCGGAAAGCGGTGTCTGACCATTATTAACAGCACGATTGATTTCGGCTCCGCATTTCACCAGGAATTGGACAATTTTTTCGTGACCTTGAGAGGAAGCTGCGTAAAGTGGTGTCGCACCACGTTTAGTAGCGCGATTGATTTCGGCTCCGCATTTCCCCAGGCATTCGACAATTTTTTCATGACCTTGAGAGGAAGCTGCGTAAAGCGGTGTCCAACCATCTTCATCAGCGCGATTGATTTCGGCTCCGCATTTCACCAGGCATTCGACAATTTTTTCGTGACCTTGAGAGGAAGCTTCGTAAAGCGGTGTCCTACCACGATATTGATCAGGGCGATTGATTTCGGCTCCGCATTTCATCAGGCATTCGACTATTTTTTCGTGACCTTTCGAGCAAGCTGCGTACAACAATGTGTTCTCATATGAATTAGCTGGATTAATTTTTGCTCCGCATTTCACCAGGAATTCGACAATTTTTTCGTGACCTTGAGAGGAAGCTGCGGAAAGCGGTGTCTGACCATTATTAACAGCACGATTGATTTCGGCTCCGCATTTCACCAGGAATTGGACAATTTTTTCGTGACCTTGAGAGGAAGCTGCGCAAAGCGGTGTCTGACCTGGAATATTATTAGCGCGATTGATTTCGGCTCCGCATTTCACCAGGAATTGGACAATTTTTTCGTGACCTTGAGAGGAAGCTGCGTAAAGTGGTGTCTGACCTTGAATATAATTAGCGTGATTGATTTCGGCTCCGCATTTCACCAGGAATTGGACAATTTTTTCGTGACCTTGAGAGGAAGCTGCGTAAAGTGGTGTCGCACCACGTTTAGTAGCGCGATTGATTTCGGCTCCGCATTTCCCCAGGCATTCGACAATTTTTTCATGACCTTGAGAGGAAGCTGCGTAAAGCGGTGTCCAACCAATTTTATTAGCGCGATTGATTTCGGCTCCGTATTTGACCAAGTACTCTACAACTGTTTCGTGCCCCTCTCGAGAAGCTATTATAAGAGGCGTACTACCATCGAATTCAACACTAAAATTTACTTCATTATTAGAAATACTCGAAGATGAAAATAATATTTTAAACGCTTCTGCGTATCCGTGCAAAGCGGCAAAAAATAAAATATTAATTTTGTCTTTTGGACTATACGAATCTTTCAGTTGTAATTTGCGTGATTGCAATAATTCCAGTTCCGCTCCCAAACTCTCACTTTCTTGTGCCCATGCTAAGGGTGTGAGTTGATGTAAAAAATCTTCTTCTAATATGTCACATTTGTCTAACAAAAACAATAACGCTCTAAAATATTGTTTCGTTTCTAAAGAACTACGCATAATCTCCCGATTTGTCTTGATAACATAACTCTTGTTTTTATGTTGTACATTTAAACGCCCATGTCGTTGTCCCCAAGAACAGATGAGATGTAAGGCACTTCTTCCACACTTATCTTTACGTTTTATTATTTCGTCGTCAAAGTTCTCCACTTCATCAAAATTTCTATATAAAATCGCTATATGGACCTGTGAATTTTTGCCAGTTAACATGTCGAAGAAGAAACGTACGTTATTATACTTCGCATCAAAAAATATGTCTCTGTGTATCATTTCAAAATTTCTATATAAATACAAGGCAACAAAATATTCGGCAAAGGAAGCATGTGCAAATTGCGGAATGCCGTTTTGTAGTCCAGTCACGATACCAACAGTTGCGAAATCTTCAGAAACAGAATCTATCTTTTGCGAATAATCTATATTTAATTGTTGCAAAATATTTTCAGGAAATATTACTTTGAGCGCCAACTTTTCATACTGTTTCAATTTTTCTTCCTTTTCCTTCCTCACTTTTTCTTGCCAAAAATAATTGTTTACAGGAACTTTGCCTTCGTAGAAAAACTTAAATTTTCCTGCAATAAAGTAACGATACATGTCAGTCAGGAGAAATTTAGTGTCTAATAACTCTAAATATTTTTCCTTATTTTGAAGTAAAACATCTGTAAGCATAAAAATTTGAAGAGGGATTCCCAATATATCTATATGTTTTGTAAATGCAAACGTGGATTTAATTTTGTCGATGACTGGTTTCATATCTAGAGGCTTAATAAAATTGTTAAGACGTTTCTTAATGTAGTCCTCTTGCTCGACTTCGGTGAGCTGATTGATACCCACTGACAGAGTATCAAATTTTTCTTCAAGAGAAGATCTCAAATGTTGCCTTGCAGTAACCCACTGAATGAAACCTTTCTGCGATAACATAAGAATGAAATCTAAAGTACCATGTAAATACTGAGTAAATATTTCATCAAGAGCGTCCCATACATAAACCACATTTCGTTGCTTTAAACACATTGTAAAGAATTCTCGATCCAACCCAGCGAGGTCTCGATATTTTTCCTTTAAAATAAATGTTTCGAATTGTAAGTCTGTTGATTTTTCAGACTTTGGTGAATTTTTAAAGAAAGACATAACATCTTGAGCACTCAGAATCACGGTCCAATATCTCGCACAACAGTTGTTTTTTAGACTCTTCGTTAACTCGGTTTTGCCCATGCCTGGGTCACCTGTTATTAGATGTATGTTGTTGCTGAATTCGAAAGACCAAATTTCGTTTTCGTTTTTGGAACGACTAGGTAATTTATAATTTCGCAGTTCATTAACAAAGCCTTTGCTTCCAATCCATTCTAAATTTTGATCGTTGAGAAATTTAAAATAGTGGACAGTTGTAGATTCTGGTGTTTTAGAACATATTATTTGAAAATCAGAATCACTACAATTTTTTTCGCTCCTTATAAAAATTGGTTTATCAAAAATTTTGGGGTCTGCATTACTTAAAAAACCCTCGATGTCTGTTAGAGTATACTTTTTAGATATTTTCAATTGGTGAGAATTACCTTCGCAATTTAAAATGATAACAGTGTTTCGATTAACACGTTCTAAATATTTAATGTCTATAATATTGACTGACAAATATCTGTCGATATAAAGATTGGGAAAAACTTCCTTTTGTCCATCTATATGGCATGAACCATTTGCCATCTCTAAAAGTTTTTCCACAGTAACATGCTTAAAAATTTCTTCATTTTTTTCGAAAGCAGTCACCAAATTACGAGGTTTTTTGCCTTGTATAGAAATAGTGAATTTTCGCAATACTTTTTCATACAATTCAACTTCTGGTTTCAAGTTGAACAAGTTTTGAAACACAGAGTGTTCTGTCATCCATTCTTCATATTTACCCTCGCCAAGAATAATAAATTTTGCATCTGGACAGAGGTTAATAGCTTTCTCCATATTGACGTGTTCTTTCACAATGAGCGGACATTTCTCCATCAGCCATAGCAACTGTGTCAACAAATTTGCATCCAGATTTTTGTCACTACTTATGTCATTAGAAGAAAGAGAGTAAAGTATTCGAACTTTGTTTAGTTCTTTGAGGTCAATATTTTGGTCCAAGTCTCCCCACAAATTTTTAACTGCCTTGCTGCCTTTTTTTTCCAACAACGTGATGTCGAACAGACAAATAGCCTCTCGAAGTATTTTCATTTCGTCTGTGACTGAACCAAAAACAAACGGTTCGATCTGAGAAGAAAGCAAACGAAGTGCGATCACACTTTGAATCATTTTTTTGCTTAGCTTTTCTTTTTTTCCATCTCGCATACTCCATTCTGATATGACCTCGACGTACCTTTTGAAAGTTTCTTCGTTAGAGCAAAATATCTCAGTGAATTTATTCATTGTTGATTTTGTAAGAGCTTCAAAACGTTCTTGAGTTGTGTAAAGACGAAATCTTTCAAAGAATGTTTGATACTTCCTAATTTTTTCAGGATTTTGTTTAGTCCATTCGTTCTCTACTATTTGAAATGTGTGATAATGATTTATATTTTCAGAAATTCTTAAAACGTCGAAATCGTCTCCTGAAACTGTCTTTTTACTGATCTTCAGGTGAAACTCTTCCTCTTCTAGTTTAAATGTCGTTTCTTCTGACGTTTCAAATGTATTTGTGGTGAATAATATAAATTCTTGCACTTCGTCTTGAACCTCTTGAGCAGATTTGAAATATTTGATTAAACTAAAGTCTCCCCTTTTGTCTGCCAGCTGCTTTGTAGTTAATTGTCTTTTTTCGTTACTGTGTTTTAATTGCAATGCTTTTGTTTTTATTCCCCTGTCTGTCTTAATTTCAATGACTACGTCATCAAAATCACCAAAATTTTTATCGTTCGAAGATATGCGAAAGTCTTTTATTTTACTGTCGCTTACCATTTGAAGTGCGACGTTAGCGGTAACCAAATCTTCGTATTTTTTGCCCTTGTCGGTAGTTCCTCTCCGTTTTTTGAAAGTCTGAAACAGAGTCAACAACATGAATAAATCGAGACAAACTACATATAATTCGTTTTAAAATATAGACCTACAAAGTAGTTAATACTCGTATTCCTTGTTATTTTTCATTATTTAATTACATTTCTAATGTAATCTGTCAGCTTGTATATCCATGTGAATATTAATGATTAACAAAAAATAATCATAAAAGTTAAACAAAATGATGACACATCTCTAGAATTGCAGCTACAAAAGACTTACTGGCACGAAAGTCACGTGTCTTTTGTGAAAATCAATATAAAACTTTTATGAAATGCTGAAACATGAGGTAAAATCAACAGCACTTCAACAGATTAAAATTGGAAATAATGTTGCTTATAAACCTAGGACAAGAAATCAGAATTTGTCTCGTACGTCCTATTCGACAGCAGGAATTAATATAAACAAATGCACTAATTGCACAGTTAACATTAGTCCTGGAGACTAAATTTGAATTTAGTTTTTTGATTAAAATAAAAAATTGTAGCACTTAAAAGCCTTGTATTGTATTGATTTTTAATTTTCTAAAACCGAGAAGATCATAGGAAAAAGTAATTTGCACCTCTGTAAAAAAGTGCGCGTTATAATCTCGCCTGTTTGCTGTCCTCGGTTACGCCTCGACTACCAAACTGCAGACATGCGTATAATAGGCATCTTGCACGTTTTTGAGTAAAGCCAGAAAATGATTCAGCAGAACTCATAAAACAAGGGTATTGTTGTAAAAAGTGCATTTGATTATTCATAGTGTAGCAATAAATTATTAAAAATTAATATTTAAATCACGCGCACTTTTGGGCGTGACGTCATAAGCCATACATTGTTGCCAAGTCGAGGATGTTTCCGTATTAATATAGGGACTTTTTATGGTCGGCTGTACTGTCAAGTGCGGCTCTGCCAAAAAACAGCGTTGGACAAATAGCACGCGATTAAAAAACTGCGACAAAACAGCGCCGAGACAAAAAAGCGCTAAGACAAATTAACACGCGACAAAATAATCTGCGACAATTAATAGTTACCTATTAATTGTATTATGTATTGTCTTATTACTATTAGGCATATAGAACACGTCAGAAAAGGGTAGACAAACGAGAATGATGTCCTGATGTGAATATTAATATGAATATTGACTTAATGTTAAAAATTACCTTTACTAGCCCAATAAAACGTCTCAAAACGGTAATACTATAGCCTCCAAATAGATCGGTTATGAATAAACCACACAAAATCAACTCAACTTTATTTCAGAACTAGAAACAGACTATTCAAAAATTAAACAAACAATAAACGATTAAAGTGATAAGTTTAACGCCACAGATTTCAAATAGTTTTCAACATTTGCAAATGAGTACTCCGAAACCAATAGGTTCAACCGCTTTCTCAGCTGAACATATTTACAGTTGGCCGATTCTCAAACTCTCATTCCCGATCTGTACCTCGCCATATGCATTTGTGTAGCACTTTGTTCCCTGTCTAATAAGCTTATAGATTTGAAGGTGTTGGCAATCCAAAGAGTGTTTGAAAGAGTTGGGCCAAGCTTCTAACTAGTTGTTCGTCCTTGGTCCGTTAACATTCGATCAAACATATTCCAGATGTTGATATCGTACCTAGACCTCAAATTATGCATTCGTTTTCCGACGTAAGTTTTCTCCCAATACTCTACTAAAGGTAGCAGTTCATGAGGAAAATTTTCATCGATAATCTCCAACGCAAACTGCACGTCCTTTTCAGGTACAAATGCGAGAGCAAGCAACATGTTACATCCTATTCTGACTTCGCTGTTGTTCCGTTAGATGGGTTTGCTGAATTTTTCGCCATAAATTTTGGCTTAGATGAAAAAACCGCCGACGGTTCTTGCTTGCCCGAAACACCTTCTGACTGCACTCAAAGATGCTATTTCGAAGTCCACCAAAACTGTTTCTGGGCCCAAGTTTGGTTCCACTTCCAGTATGCTTTCGAAAAATTTCATGTAAGTTTGTTCTTGCTTGTTGGGCAATAGACCGAATATCACAGGAATCGCTTTTCCGTCTATTATTACGTGCACGGTAAATAATTATTGAAATAATGGAGGCGAGGTCTTGAATGTACCGTCGATCGCCCAGTGGCGAAACTCCTTTAATGTGTCCAAATTCGTTCTGGTGCCAAAAACAAGAATTCTTTGGTTATCTCCCAAGTCTGTGTCTAAGAGCAGAAAATTTTCACCTCTTTCCGAAATCCTGTGGTGTTCTTTAATTACGACTTCCTCTCGGCAAGTAAAATTACCAGAGCTTCTCGAGTCGTATGTCGGTAAGAGGACTGCGGCTTCTTCGAAAGTACCTTCGATGGAGGTTTGAATTATCTGCCTTGGTTTTGGAAGTTTCTGCCAATTCCCTCATAGATTGCCTCACTCCGACTTCTCTCTTCGCCGAATCTGAGCCGTGACTATGAGCCGTTGTTGAAGTCGGTTCACTTGAATTTTCTGACACTAGCAATCTCCCTTTCCATCCTTCTTGAGAACACCTCCAAGAAACGGAATGGATGTTCTCTTTGTCTTTGCGGTAGCGGTAACCACCATAAAACAATATTCTTGCACCTTTTTGTGATTTCGCAAATTCCATGACGGGCGTTTGAAAATTTGACAAAATGAGAAAAACTTTGGATTGGCACAAACCTACTACAAAGCTAAAAATGCTGCGCTATTTCATGGCGCAATAAAATGTCCCAGCGCTATTTAATCGCGTGCTGTTTTGTCTCGGCGTTTTTTTTTCCCATATTATTTAATTACTGGGCTTTTTTGTCTCGGCGCTCTTTTGTCGCGGTTTTTTTAGTCGCGCGTTATTTTGTCCAGCGCTCTTTTTTGGCAGAGCCGACATCGTAAAATAGGTTATACAATTATAAGAGGTTATGTATGACACGTACATAACCTCAAGTTATGTACGCGTCATTGAAGAACAAGTTCTTCAATGTTGCCATGTTCAGCACTGATATGATTGGACTATGGCTTATGACGTCAGAGACCAGGTTCCGCCTTTAAAATAAAACTCAAGAATTAAGACTCTGGATATTTTTTACAATTTTTTTTTCAACTTTTGTTGAGGACTTTAGGTTCTATATTACATAGGGAACACTTGCACCAATTTTTATTAAAATTGGCAGTTGAGTGCAAGTACCCTATTCGCAGTTTTTCATCCTTGGTAGATCAATAACTACCGGGAGTACCGGGTGACTGATAATAAATGTGATTTTTTTTTAACAGGTTGGCAAACTATTTCAAATTTTATAATGGCAAAATTGATTTTCAAAGAAACATATATAGCAGCTGCCATCATGTTAACCAATCAACACATTTGTTACGTGTGCCCATGTCAAAATTGACAACTGTAAACTGAGGTACTAGCATTTTTTGCCAATAATTCAGAATTGCCAACGCAAAATTTGCTTCAAACATTAACTATTGATATCGACTAAATTCAAATACATATTATCGATTCAACAAAACCTCCAAAAGCATTATTTATTTCATTTTGATTCATTAAAATAGTTGGTATGTTCAGATTGTAATATGTCGCATAAATTTAAAAACCAAAGTAAATATCATATACTTTGATAAACAAACTCACGTCTTTCGGAAAAGCTTCATTTCCTTTTCCATCCTTTTCTTCACGAATCTGCTTCTTTTGATGTGCATTTTCTTCGGTACTTTCTTTAATTTCTTGATTATTCCGAGATGCAAGAGCTTGTTTGTTTGAAGTATCTTCTGTTTGTATTGGATCTGTTGGCTGACAAAGTATTTAATTAATGACACTTATATATTTATTTATGTATCCTAAAAATATATGTAATTAACGAAATATTTTTATCTACTCTTAAATACACATTTAAACAATTTTTTGCGAAGACCATGTAAATTAAAATAAGCTCAATTGTTAATCACAGAGCGCTTTGGGTCTATAAAGATAGCAGTAGTCTAATACTCGGTCGAAAAATATTTTATTTCGCATAATTTGGAAGAAAAAAAATTGAGTTTTTTAATGTTTTTTACTCTAAAATTTTATAGATTTACTACACTTCTGCAGGTGTAAACACTATTAGACGTGTTTATCTATAACTCTGCAGTCAAATTAGGTATTTATTTTTTTAAAGTTGTAATAAATCTAAACAAACATTTGTTCTTTGTTGGTCCAAAGATACAATACCTTTTTTGAGGAACATGCATTCTCTTCAGATTGCGAAGTATTCATCTTTTCTAAATGTTTTCTTAGTGCTCTATGTTCTTTTTTCTATTTTAAATTTTCTTCTAATTTTCTAATTTCTTCTTCTTCGGAACTCAAGTCAACGTTGAATGTGTTTGCTGAAAAAAAATTCAAAATTATATACACCGATTAAAAATACACCCCTCGCTGTCAGAACACTGATATTAGTGTATGTGTCAGTTTTCGACAATAAAACTAATGGATGGAAGCTCTATTATATTAGCGTATTATTTTTGAAAAGGGGGAAAGAATGTTCTTTGGACAAAAATTCGCTCTATAACAGTTAAAATTCGTAAGCTGAGAACGATAGTGTTATCTTAAAAAAAAAAAATTTATGACTATCTACTATCAAATTCAAATCTAAAATTTAAAATATTCCAGCAGTTACTACCAAACATTTAATGTAATTTTGAAAAGCACTTTAATTACAGTACATGCCCATATAGTTAAAATTAAAAAAAAAATTTTGTTTTTTCCTTGCATTTATTTTATACTAACAAAACTGAGGACAGGATAGTAGCCACTACTGTCAACCTCCGACAGCACATATACTTAAAAACTGTTGCAAAATTCAGCTTTTGTCTTTGAGTACTGGCATTTCTGTCATATGTCTAACTATAGTACATAGAATATTCACAAAAAAAAAATGGTCTAAAGTTATTTAGACAGAACTTCAAATATAGCTTCTTCCAAAAATTATAAAATGTAATTTTGTGAATTAGAGTATTATTTAATGATATCCTCTATAAAGTTAAAATAAAGACATGTGTGTGGATTGTTAAACTACAGGTAAATAAACATCGAATACGTATGTTTCAAGCGAATTTTTTCCTAACAAAATCTTGTGATAACGTCACCAACATGTTAGCAAAGGCACATATAATTTGAACTTGTGCAACCTAATACTAATAATAATAACCCTGTATAATAAAAGATTGGGAAACATGGGATTCATTATTTCCAACTCACCCTGTATAAGTAATTTTAAAGCTTGCGATTGCCTTAAAACCAGTGCAAGATTTCAATTTCAAAAATGTTGTTATTGTGCAATTTTGTTTTTTTTTAAATCTGGATGTCTCGGGTAAAAAGTCAAGATTTATATCATTATATCATGATTTGCTCCTGTCTTCAATCTTATGAATGATGATTTTAGTGGAAAAGTGTGGACGTATACGGCTTATCACTAAAAAAAAATTTTTGAAGAAACTGTAGTCAAATGGGATACCAATTTCATTAAATAATAATAAATTCAAACCGTTGCAGAAGCTCAATTAGATGTTTGATTGCGATTAAATTTTTAACACGACGTTAAAATACCACGTGACCGACTGTACGCCAATCAGACGTCGCTAAACTCCTCGTTAAATGCGTGATTAACTTTAACTTTAATTTTTAACTGATTGTTTATTAAAAATCCGTCATTAATTTCTGATATATATCCACTTAATTCGCAAAAGTTATATAAAGAAATACCAAAAATAATCTAAATTTACTGTTTTCTTAATGCACTATCGTAGTTTCAAAGCCTAGCTGTCTACCAATTCTGGTTGTCTGAAAGAAAATTATACTTAATTATAACTAATTTTGATGCTTCTATTTTAATAATAATATCAGTGGCGGCTCGTCATATGAGGCAAGTGAGGCGGCGCCTCACAGCAGATATCTAAAGAACAGATTGACTTAATTTATAATTAAAAAAGAGCTTTCAATGCATTTTAAGTTACAAAAATATGTTGAAATGGGAGATCTGTACATGATTTTTAATTTTTTACACGTTCTGCGGACATTTTTCGTTGAATACCGTACGATTTATGCCCCGAATTCTTTAACTGAAGCGGCCAGAGCGTCGGTTCACTTAAACCAACGAAGCCCAATCACAGACACGGATTTCCATGACTCAGCTGCTATACTCCAATACATGAATTCGCTCGGAACTGAGGCGATATCTTCGATGCTTCTCGGCCAATTTCGGCGTACTAATTCAACCATTTTCCTATTTATTTTACAGAATGGTAGGGGTGCAGGGTGCGTGGGTAATTAGCATAAATGTGAATAAAAGCCCACGTGTTGGTGTTTCGTGTTTTTGTCTCTTTCATAGGTACAGGGTACAGGGTACAGGTGAGTGAAAAATGAATCCGGAGTACGATATTATCATGTTGCTTCTTGAAACGCCGTTTTCACGGCGAACCGAGTTAGAACGTCGGTAAATTTTGCTAAATATCGAGCAGTCAAAACCGTTAATTAATTTAACTTCCATTGATAAGCGACAAAATCGTCAGTACTCCAGGTCTTTTAAATCAACCTGGTACGAAACATATAAACGGCTCTGCCGTAGCCGTAATATTTATGCTGAAAATGTATATTGTTGGCCGTATCTACTCTTAGGCAATGAAAAAAACACATGGACGATGTCTCCGGGATATAACGATTTAAAGAATTTCATCCGAAGTGCAAAGTTACATGAAAGTTCCAAAGACATTAAAAATTTCATGGGCTTAAATTAATATTTAGAAAGGAACACAACTATTGGCGAATCCCTCCAAGAAAGTGCTAGTTTAAACAAAATTTTGACTTGTAAAAACATTGTTGATTAAATGTGTTATGGGTGTTATTATTATTATTATTATTATTAGTAATAATATTATTATTAGGACTCACTACTGATTCGGAAATGACCGGTATTCAAGTAACACTTCTATCATTACTAGTTAGTAATGATAGTAGTTACTAAGACTAGTAATATGCATTAATGACATTAATTTAATTAATTTTATTATTGATATTATTATTGTCAAACTTCTATCATCGCCTCACCACATCAGACAGTCACGAGCCGCCACTGAATAATATTTACTGATTTCAACAGGAAGAAATCCTAATTACAGAAACCAAATAAACTTAAAATATCTATAATACAAACAAAATCGAGAAATGAGCAATTTTTTATTTGTTAGCCAAAACTAATAATATTAAATTTTCAAATGGAGAATCACAGCCCGCGTATACATGTAATTTTTCTGGTTTAAAATATACAATTTAACTTTGCAGTTAAAAATGTAACAAATAGCTTTATTAGTTTCATTATTTAATATTTGCAAATTAATGCAAATTTTCAAAAAAAAAAAAAATCGCACCAACGTTGTTCCTTGTGTAACTTTACGTAAAATTTGGTCAAATGTTCGATTAACACTAGTTGTGTAAGTTACTATTTCCATATCCTTAGCACATGTTTCTTGCGAAGGTCACATCTCGTCGCCCGAGAACTTGTTTGATCTACAGACCACAAAGCACTCAGGCAACTGTCGACTCTATAAGCGTTCAGAAGCGATTTCGTTGATTTGGACAATAATTTCTACGTGAAATAGTTGTTCGATCGGATTTTATAACGAATAAGTGAACATTTTTGGTATATATTTAGATGGTTTTATTTACAAATATAATATCACATGTTACATATTTCACTCACTTGACATGCAACTATTTTTTTGTTTAAGTCGAAGTAAAAAAATTGGGATACTGAAATTGGCCAAAATCGAAACAATGAAAAGTTAAAAGATAAAAAATTGCAAATTCAAAAATCTAAAAGCGAAAAAATAAACAAAAACGAAAAAACAGAAAAGTAGAAAACTGAGAAACCGAAGCAGTCCAAAATAAACAAATCGAAAAGGTACAAATTGAAAAACTGATAAATCGAGAAAGTTCAACAATCAAAATATCAAAACAACCAAATCTTGATAAATCGCTAAATCAAAACTTTGAAAAATCGAAAAATTTTAAAAATGAAAAATTTAAAAATCGAAATTTTGAAAAAATCTAAAAATTGAAAAATAGAAAATCTAAAACCACGAAGTCAAAAGATCAAAAGATTAAGAAATCTAAGCAATTGAAACATTCGAAAACTTGAAAAATTGAAATATCGAAGAACTGAGAATCTAAAAAATTGAATAACTAAGAAATCGAAAAATCAAAAAAGTATAGTCGAAACATCGAAACTTAGAAAATCGAAAAATTAAAAAATCAGAAACTCGAAAAATCGAAAAATTGGAGAATTGAAAAACTGGAAAATCCAAACAGTCGAATGTCAATTAATAAGAAAATCAAAACATCGATTAATTGAAAAATCGAAAAATTGAGAGTTTATAAAAGTCAAATTTGAAAAATTGAAAAGTCGAAAATTTGAAAACACGAAAAATTCGTAAACAGGAAATCTAAAACCGGGAAGTCGAATAATCGAAGAATTGAAATGAAAAATCGAAAATGGAAAAATCTAAAATTTTAAAAATTGAAAAATTAAAATGTCAACAGTTTGAAAAATGTAAAATTTAAAAATCGAACAATTGAAAAATCGAAAAAGTGAAAAAATCGACACATCGAAAAATCCATAAGTCAGAAATCGAGAAGTCGAAGAATCCAAATATTGAAAAATGAAAGAAAAACAGCATAATGGAAAAACTGAAAAATCCCAAAACTGAAATATCCAAAAATTAAGAATCTAAAAAACTGAAAAATTGAGAAACCGAAAAATCAAAAAATGAGGTCGAAAAATCGAAGCTTAAAAAAATCCAAAAATTGAAAAATCAAAAACCCGAAAAGTCGAAAAATTGAAGAATTGAAGAATTGAAAAATCGAAACAGTTGAAAATCAAGTAATGGGAAAAATCATGAAAAATAAAAGATCGATTATCTGAAAAATCGAAAAATTGAAAGTTTGTAGATGTCAAAATTGAAAAATTCAAAAATCGAACATTTGAAAAAACGAAAAATTCAAAAACAGAAAATCTGGAACAGAGAAATCGAAAAATCTAAAATTTTAAAAACTGAAATATCTAAATATCAAAAAATTGAAAAATGTAAAATTTAAAAATCGAAAAATTGAAAAATCGAGGAAGTAAAAAAATATCGATACATCCAAAAATCCAAAGTCAACAATCGAAAAGACGAAGAATCGAAAAATCCCGAAACTGAAATATTGAAATACTGAACAATGAAAGAAAAACTGAAGAATAGAAAAACTGAAAAACCAAAACTGAAATATCCAAAAACTAAGAATCCAAAAAAATTGAGAAATCGAAAAACTGAAACCTTAAAAAAAATTGAGAAGTTGAAAAATCAAAAACCTGAAAAATCGAAAAAATAAATAATTGGAGAACTGGAAAATCGAAATACTCGAATGTCAAGAAATAGGAAAATGGAAACATCGATTAATTGCAAAATCGAAAAATCCTAGAATTGAAAAGGAGAAAAATTGAAAAAACGTAAAACTGAAAATTAAAAAATTGTAAAATCCAAAAATTGAAAAATAAATAAACTGAAAAACGCCAAAACTAAAATTTCGAAAAACTGAGAATTCGAACGTTGAAAAGCCGAAAAATCTCAATGTCGAAGATAAAAATTCAACGTGGATTCTTAAACAACAAATTCGAGACTATGTTACTTTTTAATATTTAAAGTAGTTGTCAAGTTATTTTATGTTATTATAAAATGCATGAACATAACTGAACAATTAGTTTTTCCGTAAAAATTATGGTCGAAACCGGTTAGGATGTGCATCAGATCACGGAATATGGCTTATAGATGAAATCGTTTCTGAACGCTTATTAGAGTCGACATTAGCCTGAGGACGCTGTGGTCTGTTGATCAAACAAGTTCTCAGGCGACGAATTTAATACTTCCGGTACCATAAAAAAAGATAATACAACTCGAGTTTTGGTTAAAAGAGTCGGGGGAATTCCGTCAGCAAAATGCCAACATAACCAAAATCTGTTTTTCAGCGTCAAACATCAAAGAACAAATTTCACTGGACAGTTGGCTACCTACGTCTTAAAATAATTAAAATATCTATTTACAGACAAGAGCAAGTTGTCTCTTGCTTTTCTAGAGAGAGCTTTGATGCCCTCCTACTACTTTATGTTTGAGTTCTCTTCCTGTACCATTTACTTTGTGCTGGGTTTTCGTAAATTAAGTTGAAAAGTGTAAAAGTGTTTTAAAAATTGCTTATTATCTAGTATTTTGTGCGATTTTTAAAAATACTTAAAGTCAAATCGTCTTTAAAGAACAAGTTGAGGGAACGAACGAAAAACACATACGTTTTTCAAATAAAAAACGGCGAATTGTTCTATAAAGCCTCTAGGAGAATTGTAAGTGTAAATTCCTAATGTTGCACAATTCAGTGTGATGTTGAGAGATCTTTCTCTAGACAAAAAAATGTCTTAACAGACAAAAAAAAAATTTTTCTACAGAAAATTTTGTAAAACATCTAATTTGTTATGCAAATATTAACTATTTAGGATTAGAATCGCTGATTATGTGAAATAATAACATAAATACAGGGTTAGTATAAAGTGCCGGAAAGGTCGAATAGCTTAGTTATTTTAAAAGTTCTTTTTCTTAAATTTGCTTTGGATATATATGTGGTTGACTTTGATTTTTTTTTATTTTTTCGAATCCGTATAAATAAGTATGTCGATAATTTCTGAAATTGGTTTTTTATTCTGCACCAAAAAATATCAATAAATCTGGGTGTTCCATTAAAACAAAAAGAAATTAGGCGTTCTTGTGTGTGAAACCGAAAGCGATAAAAAAAGACAAAATATTGTAATCAAGGCGCCATGTTTAACTATACATCCACACCAAATTTCAAAATTATAGATCTGAAAGAGAACCAGACGTTGCGTAGAATTTGTTTTTCCTAAAACTTGCCCTAAAGCGCCTATTTTGCCATTTTCCTGTCTAAACCCACAATTGTTATCGCTTTTGCCTTTTTTTTTTTAAGTCTAAAATTCGCTCTTTATTTATAAGAAGTACCATTAGAATACAAATTTGGAGATCTACCCGAGGTAGAAATGCAAGTTTTAAGTCTGAAGTGTTGTACTGTACATATTATTGATTCTGAAAGTGTAAATATCAAAGCTTCTTCTGGTTTAAGCATACGTCAGCCTTATCTCTTTTTTTTTTTACTCAAGCATCTGAAGAACCTTTCGTGAGCCCAATAGGCGCTAGCCTCCGCTCAAAGAATAATAATAATAATAATAATAATAATAATAATATTGATAGAAGCAATGCAAGTTATAATAAATTCGTTAATGATTATTACGTACAATAAAAAATACGCGTAAATGGTAAATTCTAACTGTAATTTTCAACTTACCCGTCAGGAAGTTCACTTATTTTTGAAATTTATAATCACAAGAACTTTTGTTAAATATGTTTACAATTAACGTATTACTTTATTATGGTAAACTTTTAAGTCATCCGTATTACAATAATCAGCTTTTTTTTTTAATGTTGTCCTTATATACTATATTCTAAAGGTGGGGTTAGCATATCTGATAAGTTTGTGTTATCAAGAGAAAGACCTTCAAGATCTGGAAACTCTAAAACCTGATAAATGACTAATTTAATGTTTTCTCCATGGTTTTTTTCCATTTTTCATACGTACGCAGATTTAGATTTATTAACGAAAGTAGCAATAAAGAAAAATAAAATAAAGCAAACAAGAGATCAAGTAGTAATATGTAATTTATGGCGGGGCGAATAGCTATAATATTAATTTAACACAAAAAATAATCTTCCCAAATTAATTTTTGTTATTACTGATAACTACGGCGTACTAACTTCAGGTGTTTGTGGACGAAATACCATTGGATGATTATGAAGTATAGCTCAATGTACTTGCATGCTTAAATGAGAGTGAGTTTCTTTTAGTTTTTTGTTTAAACGTCGTAATAAATCAATAAACACGTCATCCACTGTTATATTGGACATAATTTACATTTTAATTTCATCGCTTTTTGGTTACATACTACAAGTAAATACTTATTTTAAAACCTAGATTTAAGACAACGATAAACATGAAGTGTTTATTGGCGCCTTGGTTGAAAAATTTGCGACCAAATCAAGAGATTTTATCTTATTTAAGTAATAAGTCATATTTATCTACTTGTTTCCATTTGCGTCATATAGCGACGATATGATCTATTTTCCAGGAATTGGTTTCTCAATTCATTCATATTCAGAACAGTACAGAAATAAAACAACATTGGCAGTCAAATAGCAAATACTAATTACATGCTAAAACTTTTTGTACATCTTCTCCTGATATTTTTTAATTAAAAAAATTGGTGCGGCCGTGATGATTTCGAAATAAAAGAAGTGGACTGTATTTTTGTATTTTATTGTCCACACAGCTGGACTGCTACCTAACGAATGACAAAAAGAATTTTATACAAAATAAGAGAGGGGACTTGTCCGTCCACCCCTTATGGCACGAGCCACCACAGATAGATGTGGCCGCCAAGGTCCGCCGCCGACAAAAGCAAGCCGCCACAAGGTGCGGCCGCCGGATTGCTGCTGCCCGACAAAGAGTGCCGCCGACAGGGAAGCTGTCGGTGACACAAGCCGTACCAAAAATAATCGCCGGAAAGTTGTCACCATTTTGTCGGAAATTTATTGGTGTTTTTGACGGCTGGCACAGAAACCGAAATTAAACAGAAACCCTTATGTAACAAATCGCACAAGTTCAAAGACATTGTTCTCCAACATGATTATTACCTCATCGACGTCAGTGAAACATGTTTAAGCTTTTCTTAAATTTGAAATTTAATTTTTTTTTTAAGACGAAACCTTTAATAGCTCTGTTGAGTACTTATTGATTAAACTTAAGATAAACTCAAAGGAAATTCACGTAGGTACTTTGTACAGACCACCTGATACTAATTTTAACAATCTAAATTTGCTAATTTGTCATATCTTGTTTGGCACATCACGTAAAGTTTCAGGCATCAACGAAAAAATAGAGTATGTACACAAGGTTAACAATCTTGAGGTTATATTCGATTCTGAATTCACATTTTCGTCCCATGTGCCTCATATCTGTAGAGAGTGTTATTTAAAATTTAGGCAACTTATTACTCATAAAAATATTCTAAATGAAAAAACTAAACTTTTACTTATAAATTCGTTGATTTTATAATATACCTCCGCACTTCCAAGAAGTTTTCAAAGTTAATGCTTGGTGTGGAATTGATGGTAACCTCGTTATTGGTCCATGCATCTAAATTTTTTGAAGAATATTTTACCTCAACTGTTGGAAAACTTAAAGCTGGACATACGAAGAATAATTTGGTTTCAAAATGATGGCGCTCCCGCTCATTATCAGAGAGACGTTAGGAAGTATTTACACAGAGCGTTTGAATCAAGACTTATTGTTAGAAAAGAAGAGTACGCTTGGCTTGCACGGAGCCCTAATCTAAATCCATTAGATTTTTTTCTTTGGGGGAAGGTGAAAAATGACGTTTATAGTGTCCCAATCGAAAATCAAAACCACTTACGTGAAAGGATAATAGCATCATGCAGATCTATAACTCCCGATTTGTGAGATAGAGATGGTAGAAATTTTGAATGTAGGATAAGACTTTGTGAAAATAGGGGAAGAAGGCGTTTTTAACATTTATTATAAATTCGTTTTCATTGTAATATGATCCACTAATAAATTGAGTATTTATTTTTCAATTTTGTCATTATTTGACATTGATATCTTTGTCATTTTTTTTCTGTGATTGCTATTTTTGCTTATTAAAAAAAATAACTTGGACGAAGTCGTCTCTGGGGTGTATAATATGTTGCCTATGCAAAAATTGTCAGGCTTGAACAGATAAAATGAACATCCTGTATATATTTCTAAAACTAATCCGAGAATGACGTCTACAATATGGAGTAGCTTAACTCCTATCTCTAAATCATGGAGCTCTGAGCCCCAGTTCAAAAAGACGAACTGTTCAAAATTTACTATGACCATCTATTATATCTTTCACTAATTCCATTTTTAATTACATGGTCATTAGCTTCGATGTTGGTAATAATTGCCATGAAGATTACCTTTATCATAATGAATCTTTTTCTCTTGAACCTCGAGTTTATTTAGAGGCTAGAGAAGACTCCCTAATCACCAACGATAATTGCCAACTAATAAAAGTTTACAGTAACATTAGTAATCGTGTTAGGAATCAACCGAATACGTAACTATAAATTATAGAAATTTTAGCACACCTTTCAATGTTAAATTAGAAGGAAGCGATTTGTTTAAATTGAATAGAACAGGCACTGCCTTTACTAGTCAGTCTGTGTTAGAACCACATGAAAGTTTATATTCTACTGTCCATTCAAATTATTTACCGTCTTTTAATTTAAATTCAGATATATGTTTAAATAAGTCAAAACTTGTTAACGATACTGATTTCTCATTGTATGTCACAACACTGTAGAAGATTCATGACTATCATCAGTTAAACTTAGCTAATAAAAGTCTTAAAGAAGTGACATCCCTTATCGAAGAGAACGAAAGAAATGCTGTCCACTCATCCACACTAACCCATTATTCATTTCTATTTTATATGTTTATCATCCTAATACCATTTTATATCATATACAGGGTGCCGCATCCAAATCTGAAGCAATCCAGCAATATTGTCTTCAGATTTCAACTCAAATGCTAATCAACACGCGTAGGAATTTTGAAGATCGGCTTACTTACTGTATAGCTGCAGACAGCAGTCTTTTTGAGCAATTCTTGAAAATAGTGGCAATACTTCTCCAGATTCGTACAATATTTCATTACTTCATTCATCAATAATTGTTAAGTTTTGTTATTATAATAATAATACTTTATTTACCTTCAGAAAATATTATACAGAAAAATAGAAAATATTTAAGAAGGGATTGTCAAAATAAAATAACACTACAAACACATAGCACCAAAATAGTGCAAAAAATACAAGATGGTTTCTACATATTACACGATAACATGTACCTACTTACAATGAACTAATAGACGCTACACGCTTTCTTAAAAAAGTCATTAAAATCATAAAAATTTCTATCCAAAAGAAATATTTTTAATTTAGCCTTGAACGTACGCAAATTAGGTGCATCTTTTATTTCATAGTCCAAGTTGTTAAAAAAATTGCAACAATTGAAATGTAAACTTCTTTGAAAGTGGGCTGTTTTGTGTTGAGTTGGCAATAACAACTTCTTGTGTCTAGTATTGTACTCATGATCTGTTCGAGTTTGACTGAACTTGTTAATATTTTTATATGTGTAACATAACATCTCATAGATATATATGTTTGGTAATGTTAAGATTCTGTGCTGTTTAAAGGCGGATCTACAAGAGTGCATACTTTTAATTCCGGCTAAGATTCTAATTGCCCATTTCTGTAAAATAAAAACTCGTTGAAAGTCAGGAGAGTGCCCCCAATGAATAATGCCGTATGTTAGAAGACTTTGGAAGCAAGCAAAGTATAGTTGTTTTACTGTAGAATAATTACACTGTCTGGCTACATTCTTGAGTGCATAACAAACCGAAGATAATTTCGAGCATAATTGATCTATATAAAGATTCCATTTTAAATGATTGTCAAAAACGACTCCTAATAGTTTGATGGAGTTGGAGCACTTAACAAGCGTCTTATTTAAATTTAGCGTAATATTCTGAAAGTTTGTCATGTTAGTAAAAATTGTAAAGGCAAGTTTTTGATTGTTTATCCATAGTTTGTTTTTACTGACCCATTGTTGCACTAGAGAGAATACCTCCTGTGCCCTTCTAGTAATGGCGTTAACGTCTGTTCCAGTAATAATGAAGTTGGTATCGTCAGCGTAGGACATAACGGTGCAATTTGACGTCTTTTTTACCAATTTTAATAAGTCATTAATAAAAATTATGAACAGAGTCGGTCCGAGAATTGATCCTTGAGGTACCCCGATAGTGACAGTCGATTCTCTAGAAAGAGTGCTATTTACAAGCACTTTTTGAGTTCTGTCTGATAGATATGATTGGAACCACTGTAAGGCTGTACCCCTTATCCCATAGCGTTCTAATTTGTGAAGCAGTAACTCATGACTTACGCAGTCGAAGGTCTTTGTAAAATCTACAAACAATCCGAGGCAAGAGATATTTTTGTCCATACACTGGGATATTTGGCTAAGGTAATCTGCCAGTGCAGTGTCTAAGCTTTTGCCTTTTGTAAAACCATGTTGGGAGGGATCACTTATTTCGTATTTATTTAAAAATGACACAAGATTGTTGTTTATCACATGTTCAAAAATTTTTGATATACTAGGTAAAATGCTAATCGGTCTATAATTAGAGACTACGTGACGATCATTTTTTTTGTGAAGTGGAATTACTATGGCTTGTTTTAGTACGGTGGGAAAATGTCCATTACTTAAGGATAAATTAACAATATGTGCT